ATGTAATAAAATGCAATCTAACTCGGATCATCTTATGTTTGATGTAATGCTTTTGCATAAAGAAGCGTCCACTTGATGAAAAGATGGATGAACATCAATACAAAATCATCCTGGAAGAAAACATTGCGAATCCATTTGATTGTGGACGGGGTTGGATGTCATTCTATCATCAGGACCAAAACACTAACAAGACAACCTGATCTTTAAATATGGTCCATTCAAAGTCCAGATGCACAGAAGCATAGAGAGACACAATGATTTGTTAAAATGATGACAGTGAAAGGTTCTTCCTCAAAATATTATCTCAGTGAGGCAAAAATTCTGTGTACAACATATTTATCTCTTTTTAAATATTTGAAAAAGAAAATTGCATATCATACTCATGCATCGCTTTCTAACAGTTTATGACATACTGTTGTAATTTGAGAATGTCGAAAAGTTCAAGCTGTATAAATAATTCAGCAGCTCATATGCTCCCTATAATCTGCATGAATTTTAAGTTGGTCTGAGACGCTGGAAGGATGATCATTTTCTTGTGTTTTGGAATCCTTCTGTTCACATGTTCTTTAAATTTCATTTCTCACTTTTTTTTTTCTTTTAGAGAAAAGTGGTGCAAACATTGCATTGGAATCAAAGCTTAGTAAATCTGGCCCTCTTTTCAGTAAGTAATGAATTCCTCATGAGCCTGAACTGGACAAAACAAATCTTTATTATAAATCAACTCTTTCACACGTCATGTCCTTCTCTTATCCACCCATTGATTGTTTCTCCTATCCTTGTCTTAAACATGTTTGTGGAACTTCCTCTTGTTTGTTGAACATCTAGTGATGACTAGTTGCTCTATTTTTTGTTTGCTCTACTGTTTTCAGGTCCTCACTTTGTGGCTGTTAATAACAAAAATGAGATTGTGGTAACAGACTTTCATAACCATTCAGTCAAGGTAAGGCTCTTTTCCCTGATGTCAATTGAAAATATCTCACAAAACCTCACCTTAAACTACTTTAGTTTGCTATTTCAAGGGTTTTTATGCACACATGCATAACTTAAATGTGATCTTCCTCTTGGGATGTAATGATGAATATTCATTTTTCATTTTATATATTGGACCAAATACCCAAGAGATGACTCTACTTTAGTGTATATATGTATTTTTTGTTTGTTTCTTCTTATCACATGTGCAGTAGCCATCAACAAGTCTTTATAAAATGTGCTCATTTTCTTTCATTGTTTAAGCCTAAATTCTGGATACGGTTGATTTTAGCTTAATGTTAGCTTGTTTTACTCATTTTAAAAACAGTTGTAACATTTGCCTGTCCTCCTTGTCCTTTTAAAACTCTGACTCCTCCATGTTGCAACCATCTAGAAGTTAATTTCGGGTGCAGGGAATTGCATCATTATCCTGTCTATTTTTGTGTAATACAGGCTTAGATCTTTAACATGATGCTTCCACCACCATGCTTGGTAGAGGAGATGATATCCTTTGGTTTGAAAGGTTACCTTAACTCCTGCAAACATTATGCTACGAATTGACTGACTGTAAACCTTTTCTCTAAAAAGCTCTAAAAAGGCATTTGATCTCTGCTGTATGTGAGCAACCACATATTTCATTCAAGCTTGAAATTTTTTCGTTTGTTGTTCTTTTGTCTTCCCCTGTTGTTGCATCTTTATTAGTCAACACATTTGCTGTTCATGTTCATGCTGAACTTTCTCCACTATAGACAGGGACCTGGTGCTTCAGCATTCTTTAGTTTATGGAACCTTGGTGATCACTAGGTTCTTAAAAAGAGGATCTCAGTCAGTTTCCTTTCAAGAAATTGTGAATGTTTGAGTTAGATGAGTAAAACTTGACTCAGTTTGGTGAATCGACAGGATAAGAGACAAAAAAACAGAATAAATAAACTTAAATAATAAAAAACCCCAAAGGGAATGGCTCTGGGATGAATAACTATAATTCAGATTTAGGCTAAAGTTCTGGGAGCAACCAATACACATAATCTCTGTATATTCTGTCAACAACAGCAGTAACATACCCAGCCAGGACTATCTATTTATGAGTCTAAGTGTACCATGCCAGTATTATTTGGAAGGAAAATAGACAAGAAATTCATACTTTTGCAGATGGTTCTTGTTTATAAAAATCCTTTAGTTGTACAGTAGGTGTAGTAATGGGCTCTATGCACAGCTCCACTACTTCCTGAATTTAAAGCAGCTCCTTTGTTTCCTGTCTTTCATGATTGGATGCACTGATTAATCCAGGTGTGTATGACCTAAGTAACTGGCCAGACACACCTGGATTAATCAGTTCGTCCAGTAATGAAAGACAGGAAACAAAGAAGCTGCTTTAAATTCAGGAAGTAGTGGAGCTGTGCATAGAGCCCATTCCACCCTGAAAGAAAAAGAATTAAAAAGCAGTATTAAAATTCCCCAAATTAATTACAAACATGCTGATGATGAGGCCTTCCAAAGAGTTTAAAGGGAATCAGATTGAAGCAGGAAAGGGGAATATTATGTATGTTCTGAACATTTTTAACCTAGACATTAGGGCTCCTCAAATGCCTTGATGGAGGGCATTTCTTTAATATTAAATTGAAAGCCTCTTTACGTTTCCAAACTTTACCTAGAGAGGTCTCATAAAAGCGAGCTATAGGAACCCTCAATAAGCAGTTCATTGCTTTTTGCATTTATAGTTTGAACTAATTAACTAATAAACTAATTGTTTTAAACGATATTTGCACATTAAACTGGGAAAATTAGATATTTAACCTAACAAACCGACAAAAAAAACAGAAGTCTAGCAGTTGTCTCAACTGACTGGTTTTTCCTGTCAGACATTTTCCATATGTGCTTTATCTTTTTTGTAGGTAGATTTCCGGATGAGTAACATCGCTTCTCTTTTTTCTTTTTGTACATTTAATCCTCCTGTAAGGTGTACAATGCTGATGGAGAGTTTCTGTTCAAATTTGGCTCCCACGGCGAGGGGAACGGCCAGTTCAATGCTCCAACAGGCGTGGCTGTCGATGGCAATGGAAACATCATTGTTGCAGATTGGGGAAACAGTCGCATCCAGGTTCGCTATAGAATGCAGACTTTATAAGATCAAAAGGAAATAATATCTGTTAATATTAGTTTGCTCTCTTTCTTCTAGGTGTTTGACAGCTCAGGGTCCTTCCTGTCCTACATAAATACGTCAGCTGATCCGCTTTATGGCCCTCAGGGTTTGGCCCTCACATCTGACGGCCATGTGGCGGTGGCAGACTCTGGAAACCACTGCTTTAAAGTCTACCGCTACCTGCAGTAGAAACAGAAGGCCATCTCCACCACTTGGAGCACTGACGACACAACAAATGTAATCCACAGGGTGCAATGATATTTTCCAGTGCAGCCTTTTGATGTGCACATCAGCATATTTCTCAGATGTAACCGTCAACCCGTTTCACCTTTTTATGATGTGCATTGAGGGTCGTTTCTCTTTTTCTTCAAGCTCAGCAATGTAGCATTTTTGGGACAAATGCTCGCACAGATCCATGGACGTTCCGGAGAATATTCAAAGGCATTTTTGTGTTATATTATACAACAAGGCTGTCAGTACACCTTAGGATATAGACTAAAATATTTAATCAGCGCAGACCTTTCAAGATGCATGAAATACTTATTTTTTCTTTATCAGTTCCCAGGCAACTGCATAGTGCACATTAGCTGTTTTTACCCAACAGTGCTCTGCTTTTTCAGCAATGGAATGACACGTAAACATTTATCATTTACTGGCATCTATCGTGAAAAAATGTAACCACCATTTGTGCATTGGTTTGCTGTATGTACTGTATATGCTGTACATGAATGTACATTGTGTATATTAGATCACTCTGTAAGTGCTGCTTGGTTTTGAAACACGCAGTTTTTTTTTTTTGCTTTTTCAGAGCGCAGCAGATGAAGGATTCTTGGACTGTTTACATATGTGGCAGCTGCAAAAGAAGGAGCTTTTTTGGAATCTCACCCAGCTCATGCATTAGAGATGAGTGTCATAGAAATGCTTATGTGAGCAGCACAATATCTTTTTTTGTTGTTGTTTATAGCTGTTGTTTTAAAGGGGAAATGTTGTAAATTGCTAATTTATTTTTTTTTCTACTAGATCAGTCCTCACGTGTTTTATTTGCCTTTTTGTTTTATTTTACGTCAAACATTCAAGGGATACGTTTTCCTTGAAGCAGAATTCACTGATCCAGGGTTTGTGCAGATGTGCCGCTCGATTCTGAGAATTAATAGTTGGGGAAAAAATGTTTGGGTTTACCATCTGAAAATGAATTATGACTTTTAATAAATTAGTTAACATTTTTGAATTTTGATTAAGTGCTGCTTTCATGCAATAACACTGCACAAATCTCAGGAAACCCTTCAAAGTTTAGATAGATAGTGAGACAGCATTGGGAATTTTTAATGTTTTATGGAGAAAAATATGTTGATTTGGCAGAGTAAAACATTTGCAATGGGATCTGAATTCTGTTGTAAGGGGTCTGCATTTTTGTGGCTTTACAAAAAAAGAAAAATCTGTACATTGCTATATATTAGATGGGATTGGCTAGTGAACACATCAATGCTTAAGACTCCACTCAGAATGCTAATTTAATAAGCTACCTGTCTTTTCTGCCGAAGTTCCTTCCTTCATGATGCCAAACAATAAGTCCAAAGCGAAGACTCCTGCACGGAGAATGTTGTCGCTGCTACTGCTGGCCCTCCGGTTCATTTGCTGTAATGTCAGAGGTACACAGCAGCAAAGGAGGAGGAGGATGTGGTCGAGACAGGCTGCTGGTTTCACTCAGTTATCCACATTGCTGTGTTTGTCATCTAAACACTGACTTTTATTCTCACTCTGTGGTGCTTTCTGAGCTCAAATATCACCAGTTACGTCATTTTTGGAGGTTTGTTTGTTTTGTTTTGTTTTTAATTACCAATCCTGTTGTTTGACTTGTTGCCAAACGGAAGCACTGACGTCTTTCGAGAGTCAGGCTTTCCTTTTTAATCTTTTTTTTTTTTTTTTTTGAATTAATGAAGTTTTTTCACCTTACCCATATTTTTTCCCTCTATGAATATGCACTGGTAATAAAAGCACATGGTTTACTGAACTATAGTAATGCATCTTATTATGTTTGATGCCTTTAGAAGAACAGACCTGATCTGGGTTGTAGTGAAAAGAAAGCTTGAAACATTACAATAGCATAAAGAGGTTAAATGATTTCAAGTAGTTTAATGTATCACTGTTTATTTTACTGTAGCTACATGGGGCCTCTTTTGCATAATACAGGTGCTGGTCATAAAATTAGAATATCATGAAAAAGTAGATTGATTTCAGTAATTCCATTTAAAAAGTGAAACTTGTATATTATATTCATACATTACATACAAACTCATATATTTCAGATGTTTATTTTGTTTAATTTTGATGATTACAAATGACAACAAATGAAAATCTCAAATTCATCATATCAGAAAATTAGAATATTGTGAAAAGGTTCAAAATTGATGGCCCCTGGTGCCACACTCTAATCAGCTAATTAACTCAAACCACCTGCAAAAGCCTTTAAATGGTCTTTCAGTCTAGTTCTATAGGCTACACAATCATGGGGAAGACTGCTGACTTGACAGTTGTCCAAAAGACGACCATCGACACCTTGCACAAGGAGGGCAAGACACAAAAGGTCATCGCTAAAGAGGCTGGCTGTTCACAGAGCTCAGTGTCCAAGCACATTAATAGAGAGGCGAAGGGAAGGAAAAGATGTGGTCGAAAAAAGTGTACAAGCAAGAGAGATAACCGCACCCTGGAGAGGATTGTGAAACAAAACCCATTCAAAAATGTGGGGGAGATTCACAAAGAGTGGACTGCAGCTGGAGTGAGTGCTTCAAGAACCACCACACACAGACGTATGAAAGACATGGGTTTCTGCTGTCGCATTCCTTGTGTCAAGCCACTCTTGAACCACAGACAGCGTCAGAAGCGTCTTGCCTGGGCTAAAGAGAAACAGGACTGGACTGCTGGTGAGTGGTCCAAAGTCATGTTCTCTGATGAAAGTAAATTTTGCATTTCCTTTGGAAATCAAGGTCCTAGAGTCTGGAGGAAAAGAAGAGAGGCACTTCATCCACGTTGCTTGAAGTCCAGTGTAAAGTTTCCACAGTCAGTGATGGTTTGGGGTGCCATGTCATCTGCTGGTGTTGGTACATTGTGTTTTCTGAGGTCCAGGGTCAACGCAGCCACATACCAGGAAGTTTTAGAGCACTTCATGCTTCCTGCAGCTGACCAACTTTTTGGAGATGCAGATTTCATTTTCCAACAGGACTTGGCACCTGCACACAGTGCCAAAGCTACCAGTACCTGGTTGAAGGACCATGGTATCCCTGTTCTTAATTGGCCAGCAAACTCTCCTGACCTTAACCCCATAGAAAATCTATGGGGTATTGTGAAGAAGAAGATGCAATACACCAGACCCAACAATTCAGAAGAGCTAAAAGCCACTATTAGAGCAACCTGGGCTGTAATAACACCTGAGCAGTGCCACAGACTGATCGACTCCATGCCACGCCGCATTGCTGCAGTAATACAGGCCAAAGGAGGCCCAACTAAATACTGAGTGCTGTACATGCTCATACTTTTCATGTTCATACTTTTCAGTTGGCCAACATTTCTATAAATCCTTTGTTTTTATTGGTCTTCAGTAATATTCTAATTTTCTGATATGATGAATTTGAGATTTTCATTTGTTGTCATTTGTAATCATCAAAATTAAACAAAATAAACATCTGAAATATATGAGTTTGTATGTAATGTATGAATATAATATACAAGTTTCACTTTTTAAATGGAATTACTGAAATCAATCTACTTTTTCATGATATTCTAATTTTATGACCAGCACCTGTATATCTAAGTTATTTATTGCATCAAGGTGATACACCTAGGGTTCTAAATAGATCTCCTAGGTCTGTTCTTGTCTTATTTTCCTCTTGACAATAACTGTTGACAGTACTTTGATAATACTTTTAGTCTAGAATAAGCTTTTTTAATCACTTATTCCTTCCAGCAAAAAATAATTTCTGCGCCTCATTTCAACACTAAGAGAATCCAGCACAGAGCCATAATCGTCAAAATGAACAAAACCTGTCACTTTAACCACCATACTGTGTACCAAATCTACGAGTTGCACTTGTTGAATAGAAAAACTTAAATAAAATGAACTTCCCAGTTTTATTATGATGCTAAAAAAAAATTCTCAAAATATTGAAATGAAAATTCTAGTAAAATTTCACATTTGAGTTTTACTGCAATTAGTAACTATTTAAAAGTCTGTTCAGTTTGCATCATATATCAAACCTGCCAAAAAGTTTTTTTTTATTCTGCAAAAATCCATACAAAACTCAAAACATGTTTCTTGAAAAATTATTTTATTTGCAGACCATGTTGAATTTCAGGTCTATGTTACAAATTCTTACAGCACATACAGTATGCCTTTTATAACAATAACCATTCCCAAAACTTCCAAATGGTACATCTATATGTAAAATCCGGGATATTTATATACATAAATACATAAAACTCTTTGAATGCACTCAGAGCATGTGCTAAACAACCACAAGACGTAGATACAAGGTTAAATGTAAGGTAGCAGTATGATTGCAAAACAAAGAAAATAAACAGTGATATTTAATAAAGGTATTAGACTAAATGTTGCATAGAACAGTTTTCAATCTCAAAATTAACTGCAGATGACGAAGCATTTATAAAATAAGTAACGCAGAGGTAATCAGCTTTTGCGGCAGACAGGATATGGTAATGAAGGCCAAAGATAACAAAGTTTAAACAATAGAGCATGTTTCAATGGAAATGTCACCATGTTTATAACACATATATGTTCAAATAAAAGTTAATTGCAAAAAGAAAAGGCATAAATGTGTGCCTAAAAAGACGTACTGAAAATAACTTAACATAATCATTTGTAAAAAAGGGATTTAAGGGAAGTATTTGATTCACTTTATGTGAAATATGATTAAAAATAACTAAACAGCAAAGCTGACACAAAGCTTTAGAGCCACAGTAATCTACGAATCTCTACCAGTGATACTAATAAAGTGTACAAGTTTTTCTGTCAAGCATGTAAAATGTATTCTCTTTAAACCGTTAGTATAATAAGCTGTAGACTGCAGACCAGCTGTCTTAATTCTTCTCTAATACCAAAAAATGCTCTTCTTTGATTTAGTGCCATGTGCTAATTTTTTACAGTGTTTCAACCGCAAAAGATCAAGAGAAATGCAAACAATTAATTATGAATAAACATTAGAATATACAGTGTGAATGTGGTAGAAAACAGCAGGTCAGACACATTTCTCACAAATTTATGTCAAATTAGCCGTTAGACATCTTAAAATACAGAACTTAAAAGCATGCACAGACAGAAACACTAAAATGTTCATCGAAATGTTTACTTGTAAGTTTTGTTGACCACACCAGACAAATATTTTACATATTAAAACCTCAAAGTCCTGGGAAAGTCTGAAGCACACCCAATCTAAAAACAACTCATTCTTGATAAAAAAGATATTTTTTTTTATGTGTGAAATTTAATTATGAACAGTGTTTACAAAATCTATACTTAATAACTTCAAAGTGATTTTCAGTTTCTCGTGACCTCCTCAGCCAAACAGCCAAAGCTATTATATGTAAGCAGTTCTCTTGTAGCCCCATCGGAAACATAATACTTTATTTTTGGATCAATTGGCAGCCAAGGCCAATCGATAACAGCCGGTGAGTGCTGACAGCTTGACGAGGACTTTGAGACAGCAGCTAATTACGTCCATCACCTTAGTTTTCAATCCACTCCCTGTCTTTGGAAGTGAAGCAGTAATTCAAGTAGTTTTTTCTGAACAATATGAAAGCTTTTGTAGTTTGGGTTTCTTCAAACAAAAATCTTAATACATTTTTTTTCAGTTAACTGTGAGGCACTTAAAAAAACAAAACAAAAAAAGTGTCAGTCATTGGTATGTTAGACCTCAGAACTGTCATTGCTGCTGAGGTTTTGAGTGACCATGGGTTCTGTACTGCTGGAGTTCCTTGGTACTTCTTTCTTGTCCTGCTTAGATCGCACCAGCAAAACCACTAAAACGATGAGAAGCACAGTGAGGAGCAATCCAACAAAGATCCCTATGATTAACACCAGACTGTCATCACTGTCTCTCTGGTTGAGTTCACGGGGAATGATTCCTTCTGTGAAGATCTCCTTCTCTGGACTTGTCTTCTGCTGGCTGCTGCGGTCCAAAGCGATGTGCAAGATGTTGGTCCCGCGGTTGTTTTCCACGCCGATTCCATCCACTATGTCAGGTTCCTTGTTAGCAGATCTTCTGGCACGATGGTGTTTGTTAGGACCTGTTAGATCCTGGCTGATCACATGATATTCCAGACTTCTCTTCCCTATTCCCCGATTTGCATTGTCCCTGGAACGGACTGTATAGATGGCATGAATGTACCACTCTCTCCCCACAGCCACCTAGCAAAAAACAAAAAGTTCTTAGAATGAACATATTATGTTATGGATTCAAATGGAATATGTTAAAAAGGATCAGACTTCAGAAGCATTTCTCACACACACGACATTACTGCAGCACCCCCTTGTGGTTGATATGTAACATACATACGTAAAATGAGTAAACTGGGAAACCATAGAAGTCAAACTATAGATAAAATGTAACTAGCTCCCTCTAGTAAATATATATGTTAATGTTTTGTAAATTATGCTTCAATCTGTTTTTTTTCCCACAACATTAGAACACAAATCCTTTTCTTTTCTATTAAAAGATAAATAAAATAAACAGATTTAATGAGGTAATAACTGTATAATGTTCACATCAGAGGATAATTTCTAAGCTTTTGTCAAAGTTCTTAATAATGGTAGAAAAAGAAAACAGATTCTGGAAAACTAATAATAAAAAAAAAATCTTAATAAAATGAAGAACATTATGGAAAACCCCGGGCATCCACTTCACTGATAGTTAAAAAACAAATTATTATAGACTAACATGTCTTGCTGTAGTCAATTCCTCTCTTTGTGTTATTACTAAATATACAGTAGGTACAATATTATTCAA